TTTTTGTATTTTTAGTAGAGACGGGGTTTCACCATGTTGGCCAGGCTGGTCTCGAACTCCTGACCTCAGGTGATCTGCCCGCCTTGGTCTCCCAAAGTGTTGGAATTACAGGCGTGAGCCACCACGCCCAGCTGGGAGTGATTTCTGGAACTGGTTCATGTTCAGAGCAGAGGAGGCCTGGATAGCATCTGAGATCCCTTCCATCTGAAAATCTCTGACCTCGCATATTGTTTCAGCTCCGCGAGTAGACAAATTCCTCAGTGAGCCAGGGGTCTCAGAGAGCAACAGTCAAAGCATTTCTAAAATAGATCATCACGTTTTCAATTACAGTGTGTCTATTTCTTCAAAATAGGTAATCATGAGAGCTACTGTTTATTGAGAACCTACTGTGAGCCAGGTACTCAGCCAAGCACTTTCTATACATTACCTCCTGTTGTTCTTTGAATAACTGAAACAGATAGTGTTCTCATTTAACTGATTTAAAAAACTAAGGCTCAGAGAAGGCAAGTGACTTGCTCAAGGTTGCACAGGAAATAAAAGGGCAACACTAGACTTTAAGCCCCAGTCTGTGTGAATCCAAACCCCATGTTCCCCACCACTCCTAACACTGTGCAGGTGGCGGGGGGATCTCTGCTTCCTGAGGGACATCAAATACAGGCTAGACTGGCCTCCAGAAGGTTGTAGGAAGACTGGAAACTGAAATCAAGGGCTCTCCAGTCTTCTAGATGATTAAAGATCCTTAACTTGTTAAAAAAAACCTTTCTAGGTCGGGCACAGAGGCTCGCGCCTATAATCCCAACACTTTGGGAAGCTGAGGCAGGAGGACTGCTTGAGGCCAGGAGTTCAAGACCAGCCTGGGCACCATAGCAAGATCCCTATCTCTACAAAAAAGAAATCTAAAAAAAATTAGCCAGGCGTGGTGGTGTGGCCCTGTAGTCTCAGCTACTCAGAAGGCTGGGGTAGGAGGATCACCTGGGCCAGAGGCCACAGTAAGCTATGATCACATCACTGCACTCTGGCCTGGGCAACAGAGCCAAGACCCTGTCTCAAAAAACAAACAAACAAACAGCCATTTCTAGATGTTCAGTGTATTCTTGGGGTGTCAGGAAAAGGCTGGGGACACCTTAGCTATTTCCTCATGAGATTTTAGGGAACGGCTCTTTCTAGATCTAGCCTTGAGCTTCTACTTACCTCCTCTTGTTCTTGCAGCTCGAAACTTTGACCTGCAGAAATCTGAGGACATGCTCCGGAGGGTAAGGATCTCTGATCCCTACTGTGCTGCCTTCCATGCACCGTGACCCAGGGATTCGCGGCAAAAGGGTAGAGACTCTGGCCCTGTCCCGTTCTCCTGTTCCTTCTTTCTTCCTCCCCCGATCCCTTTCTGCATCAGACCCAAGTCCCACCAGCCCACCTCCTGTCCCCAAACCCGGAGAGCCTGGATATGCTCTGGTGGGATCTTGGTGGCTGTGGGCAGAGGGACCTAGCCTGGTGTCCCCAGGTTCCTGCAGAATCCTATAGCTGCTGCTGTGTCCCTGCAGCACATGGAGTTCCGGAAGCAACAAGACCTGGACAACATCGTCACGTGGCAGCCCCCCGAGGTGAGCCTTGAGCAGCATCCCCCAGGCCATCTGAGGCCCCCCACCACTGACCTCATCTCCCACCCACCACATCCAGCCGCCTGATGGAGTAGGGACCCAGCCTAGTGAGCTGGATAGAGTCAGGACCTTACCCACACCTCCAGGTCATCCAGCTGTATGACTCGGGTGGTCTTTGTGGCTACAACTACGAAGGCTCCCCTGTGTACTTCTACATCATCGGGTCCCTCGACCCCAAGGGTCTCCTGCTGTCGGCCTCCAAGCAGGATTTGATCCGGAAGCGCATCAAGGTCTGTGAGCTGCTTTTGCATGAGTGTGAGCTGCAGACTCAGAAGGTGAGCAGCTGGGGTGGAGCTGGGCCTCATCTGTCTATAGGGTGGCACCAGGACCAGAGAGGGGTGGCAACTTCCCCCTCCCCAGCCCTCAGCACTCAGGGCTCTGGTGGAATGTGGGCTTCTCCCACCCTTACCCACCCATGAAGGTGAGGTGTTTTTCATCTGTCTGGAAAACACTATGGGCTGCCAGAGGGTGGGATGGCAGGAAGGTGGGGAGAGGTGCCCAAGTCTCTCTGGCCAGGATCTCCTGGCTGAAGCTGTTGTCTGATCCATATGCTGACGCTGTCCCAAGCAGCTGGGCAGGAAGATTGAGATGGCGCTGATGGTGTTTGACATGGAGGGGCTGAGCCTGAAGCACCTGTGGAAGCCAGCTGTGGAGGTCTACCAGCAGGTAAGGTGGGCGGCTGGTTTGGGGCTGGTGTGGGCAGCGGCTCCCAGCTGTGAGCCCTAGCTGTGAACTGCTGTGAGAATCCAGTGAGATAGAGGAGTGGGTATGCCCTGCAGGGGCTCCACAGAGCAGCCAATGATGCTGGCCTAGAGTCCACTCTCCAAGGAGAAAGAGGAGCAAGAGTAACACAAAGGCCAGGCATGATGGCTCACACCTGTCGTCCCAGCACTTTGGGAGGCCAAGGCGGGAGGATCGCTTGAGCCCGGGAGTTCAAGATCAGCCTGAGCAACACAGTGAGATGTCATCTCTACCAATAATAATAATAATTATTATTATTATTATTTATTTATTTATTTTTTTACATTAGCCCAGTGCAGTGGCACGTGCCTGTAGTCCTAGATACTTGGGTGGCTGAGGTGGGAGGATCTCTTGAACCCAGGAGTTCAAGGTTGCAGTGAGCTGTGACTGTGCCACTATACTCCACCTTGGGCGACAGAGCAAGACCCTGTCTCGAGAACAGATCAACAAATAAAAAAAGAATAATAGAGAGGAGGAGGCACATGCTTGTGGGGAAGGTAGGCTGGGCCAGGGATGGGCCTCTTGTCTCAGCAGCATCAGAGACCACAGAAACCCATGGGCGGGAGGTGATGGAACAGAGCCCCAACCACACTCATCTTGACTCCACAGTTTTTTGGCATCCTGGAAGCAAATTATCCTGAGACTTTGAAGAATTTAATTATTATTCGAGGTAAGCCCATGACCAGGATGACCTCCTGGGGAGGGAGAAGCAGGAATCGGGGGGTACAATAGGTAAGCCGTGGAGTTAAAGGCTTCTTCAACCATCCTTTGTGAGGAACCAGGTTTTGTGTGGTTGGTTTCTGGTTAGTTATTTATTGAGATGGAGTCTCACTCTGTCACCCAGACTGGAGTGCAGTGTCACGATCTCTGCTCACTGCAACCTCCGCCTCCTGGGTTCAAGCGATTCTCCTGCCTCAGCCTCCCTAGTAGCTGGGATTACAGGTGCATGCCGTCATGCCTGGCTAATTTTTGTATTTTTAGTAGAGATGGGGTTTCCCCATGTTGGCCAGGCTGGTTTTGAACTCCTGATCTCAGGTCATCCAGCCACCTCAGCCTCCCACAGTGCTGGGATTACAGGAGTGAGCCACCGCACCTGGCCTCTGGCGTTATTTTCTAGTTTCAATCCTTCACAGGTTCATATTTTTGTAATATACAAAATCATGCACTGGTATGTTGCAACAATGTCAAGTTATAAGTTTCTGAATGTTTACTGTTATTTACTTATGTCAGTGTGGGCTGGGAACCAATAGTCTATGGACCACACTAATGGATGGACACACTTTGAGCAGGAATGGTCCCTGGCTGCCCTGGTGATGTCATGTGTTCCAGAGTCATAGGATCTGATTCAAATCTAACTAGCTCTATGATTTTATCCAAGTCTGCTTAACCTCACTGAGCCTCAGTTTCCCATTCTGTAAGATGAGGATACAGTAGCCCCCTCCCCAAAGATAACTATGAGGTTAAATGAAACAGTGTGTGGAGAAGATGGAGCACAGAGCTTGGCCCACAGACAGTGCTCACTTGAGTGTGAGCAATTCAGGGCAGGACAGGAGGTCTAATGTAAATGTCACACCCAAGAAGATTCCAGACAACCCGGAGTGTGGAAAAGAAGAGATACTGTTGGGGAATCAATATTGCTGACCCCAGAGCCAGCTTGTGCTCAACCCCTTACAACTGGCTTGGGGAGACAACCATTTGCTTTTTATTTTTTTAATTTGTTTTTTCTTTTTCGAGATGGAGCCTCACTCTGTCACCCAGGCTGTAGTGCAGTGGCACGATCTTGGCTCACTGCAACCTCTGCCTCCCAGGTTCAAGCAATTCTTGTGCCACTGCCACCCGAGTAGCCGGGATTACAAGCATGCACCACTACGCCCAGCTAGCTTTTGCATTTTTAGTAGAGACAGGGTTTCACCATGTTGGCCAGGCTGGTCTCGAACTCCTGGCTTCAAGTGATCTGCCTGCCTCTGCCTCCCAAAGTGCTGGGATTTCGGGCATGAGCCACTTATTGAAAGCCAGCAACTGTGCCAGGTGTTACACATACATTATTTCACCTTCATTTTCCAGTTAACTGCACTAAGACTTAGAGATGGTGCGCAACTTGCTGAAGGTCACACAACAGAGAGTGGCAGAATCCATATCTGTCCAACTCCTGTCCAGCACCTGCTCTTGACTGTGGCTCTGTATCCCCATGTCCTCTCTGGTCCAGCTTCTCAAGAGATTTACATGTGTTTCAGCCCCCAAACTGTTCCCTGTGGCCTTCAACTTGGTCAAGTCGTTCATGAGTGAGGAGACACGCAGGAAGATTGTGATTCTGGGAGGTGAGCGGCTTGGCCCCCTGGTTGTGTCCGTCTGCCTGGGAAGCAGAGGTCGACGCTAAAGACCCTGCTTCTCCCTGGCTCGTCCTCTACTCGGGCACTGCCCCTGGTGAGCCTCCACACACACGGGCAATGCCTTGGGTCCTAGACCATGAACTGGGAGCCACATAAAGGTCTTTGGTACGGTTAGGAGTAGGCGCCCAGGGGAGCACACCCAGGATGTATCGGGTCCCCTCACCAGGCTCAGCCCCCTTTTGCCCTCTGTTGAGTCTCCTGAGTCCCCTTGGAGTCCCTCTCTTGCTCCCACACAGACAACTGGAAGCAGGAGCTGACAAAATTCATCAGCCCCGACCAGCTGCCCGTGGAGTTTGGGGGGACCATGACTGACCCCGATGGCAACCCCAAGTGCCTGACCAAGGTATAGGGTGCCCAGAGGATGGGGAAGGAGGGGAGAAGCTGTGATCTAGTGCCCACACACCCCCTTCACCCACAGATCAACTACGGGGGTGAGGTGCCCAAGAGCTTCTACCTGTGCAATCAGGTGAGGTTGCAGTATGAGCACACGGTGTCCGTGGGCCGCGGCTCCTCCCTGCAGGTGGAGAATGAGATCCTGTTCCCGGGCTGTGTGCTCAGGTAGGGATCGTAGCCACTCCACACCTGGGAACAGCTGGGAGGGGCCTGGAGCCCAGGCAGGGGGTCGCCAGTGGGGCTTTGTCCACTGCAGGTGGCAGTTCGCATCGGATGGCGGGGACGTCGGCTTTGGGGTTTTCCTGAAGACCAAGATGGGGGAGCGGCAGAAGGCTAGGGAGATGACGGAGGTGCTGCCCAGCCAGCGCTACAACGCCCACCTGGTGCCTGAAGATGGGAGCCTCACCTGCCTCCAGGCTGGCGTCTGTAAGAGCTGCAGGGTTTACTGGAATTGTTTTCCCTGCCAGTCTACCCTCTGCTTGCCCTCTCTTTCCAGCTCTCAGGAGGGTGGGGGGATCTCTATAAACTCCAGGGGAGCTGGCTTTGGGGCCATGGAGCGGATGAGTGGCCCCTACCTGTGGGAATGAGGGCAGAGACTCATTGTGGGGGAAGAGCTGGTGTTCAGAACCTAGGGCCTTGGGCTCAGCTCCTGAGAAGCACCTATACCGGGGTCACTGGACTAAGAGACAGGTAAGTAAGAGGCCATGGACTTAGAATCAGGGGTCTTGGCAAGGGGACCACCCAGTTGCATGAACCACCCCACTCTAGGAGTCCCAAAGAGGTGACTTCCTCCAGGTGTTTATCCTTCACCCCCAGGCCTTCCAGGCCAGATGCAGCTCAGTCAGCTTTACCAGAAGCAGCATTGCTCAGGGCCACCACGTCTATTGGGAACTGAGCTAGGAGAAGGGGAACCCAAGGTTGATTTCCTATGGAGGAGAAGGGTGTGGCTTATGCTTAAGTCAACACATTAGCTTGTTTCGTTCTGTGCAAAGGGAACATTAGGAGAGTAGAGACAGAAAAGTCTGCGTGACTCATCACACCTGAGTTGATGCTGGACCTTGGCATTGAAGGATACGCCTTCTGCAAGACGGAAAAGTGGCTTACGTAGCCCAGCCCATTCCTCCTGGGGTAGCAGGGCTTCTCCCTGGGTTGGGACATTGGGATAAAGGAATCCCAGTACCTCCCCTCCCTTGCTCTGTGACCGCTAAAAGATCACATCACCTCTCTAAGCCTCAGTTTTCTCATCCGTAAAATGAGGATGACATTGCCTTCTGCATGGGGCTGCTTTGAGGATTCAGGGAGGTGTAATGTGTGATGGAATGCATGGTGCATGGAGAGGCCCAAGAGCTACCTGTGCAACCGCAACCAGGCGAGGACGCAGTACGGGCATACTGTGTCCGTGGGCCACAGCTCCTCCCTGCAGGTGGAACTCGAGATCCTGTTCCCAGGCCGCCTGCTCCCTGGCTGTGTGCTGTTCTGTGTGCTGGTGACCATCATGATTCCTCTATGTAGCACAAGCTACCATGGAGATGGCAGTGAGCAACAGGCTTAGGGCTGGGCACAGGCTGACCCTCAGGCTCACCCACTGTCCTGGATAGCTCATTCCCAAGGGTTCCAGGGATGCAGCCGTGCAGGGCTGGCTCTTCCTGCAGATATGCAGGGTTCATGCTCCCTGATCACCTCTCCATCACCACAGATGTCCTGCGCTTCGACAACACCTACAGCCGGATGCATGCCAAGAAGCTCAGCTACACTGTGGAGGTGCTGCTTCCCGACAAGGCCTCTGAGGAGACACTGCAGAGTCTCAAGGCGATGAGGCCCTCCCCAACACAGTGAAGACCCCAGCCACCTCTGCCTGTGTGCTCCAACCCCTTCACACCCACTCCCCTGACCCCTGCCTCCCAGGCAGGGTGGTGCTGAAGGTAGCTGCAGAGAGCCACTTGTCCCACGTCACCATCTCAGCTCATTGTGGGCTCGCCTGGCACAGTGACCAAGCAGGAAGGGGCCACCAGTGCATAGGCCATGCTGAAGATTCAGACAGGAACCTCTTTCCCTGTTCCCAGAGAATGGGGCCAAGAATGAGAACGCTGAAGATGATCCAGTCCACTGAGGATGGGTCCTGCCTGCAGAAGCTGCCCTTTCATCCATCCCAACAAGATCCAGTCACCCAGGACTCGCCCATGCCTGGTGTTCCAGCTTCAGGGGGTGTGCGTGGATCCCAAGCCTTGTGGGCATCACAGCTTCAGGCTTGAAGAGAGAGAAGCCCTGTTCTATGCATGTAGGAGGTCAGCAGGAGTGGGCAGGCCTAGCTGGAGGCAGCTGGGTGAGGGTCCTGGTTCCAGCAGAGCACTGGGGCCCATCCAAGCTTGTTTTGCCACCGCTGGATGGAAAATTGGAAATGGACTGGGCGTGGCGGCTCATGCCTATAATCCCAGCACTTTGGGAGGCCGAGGTGGGCAGATCACCTGAGGTCAGGAGTTAAAGACCAGCCTGGGGACATGGTGAAACCCTGTCTCTACTAAAAATACAAAAACTAGCCGAGCATAGTGGGGTGCACCTGTAATCCCAGCTACTCAGGAGGCTGCAGCGGGAGAATCGTTTGCACCCAGGAGGCAGAGGTTGTAGTGAGCTGAGATTGTGCCACTGCACTCCAGCCTGGGCGACAGAACCAGACTCCGTCTCTTAAACAAACAAACAAACAAAGAAAATAAAATTGGAAATGAAGAGGTGGGGCCGGCATGGGTAACCATCAGAGGACAAAGCCATGCACAGCCTTCCAGTTGAGTGGGTAACGACTGAGTTTCCAGGGAATTCCCAGTGACCTCCACTCCACACCTGCTGTGATCCTGCCAACATTTAGCTTTGGTTCTTTTGGCAGCTGCACCATTCATGGATGCATATATGTAGAGTCTGAACAGGTGCTCTGCTGCTAGAAACGGCAAACCATCTAAATTAAACTCCTAAAGCCAGTGCCACGAGGCATTCCTGTTCCAACTGGGTGTTTGAGCAGATTGGCAGGTTAAAAAAAAAAAAAAATGGCTGTGCTGGCTCCAAGGAGATGGCCTGGGCTGTGGGGCAAGAGTTACAGGACATCCCCATGTTCAGGGGCTGCCTCTGCATCCGAGATGTGACAGGCATCCCCACTACCCTGTTGCACTGCGTGGCCACCCTGTCTCCTGCTTCCCCAGATGCAGCGATATTTGGAGTGCCCAGAGGCACTTGGCTTCCATGGCAGGCTGTGGCCAACTGGAGTTGGGAGGACCCTGTGCTAAATTTCACAAGGCCCCCCGGTTGTCTTGATGGGGGATCATAATACCTCACTTCAGCCTTGACATCCTCTGCCTTGACGTCCTCTGTCTAAAAACCAGGGGTCCCTAGACTTGAACTCTGATTCTTGCCCATGTAACTATCTACAGCCAATTTTCCATCAGCACAGCCTTGTCTGGTTCCTTGCAGGCAGTAAGGATTGCTCTGCCTCAGGCACAAGTGTTTCCTGAGGCTCTGATCACAGGGCTGTGATCACAAATACCAGCTGCCTGGGGGGTGGCAAACAAAAATGGTCAGTCAGGGGCAGGCACTAGTGACTGAATTGCAGTGAGCAGTAGTCGCCTGCAGAGGTGAGAGCAGAATCTCCTACCAAGCCAGGAAGGGAGGGGCACACTGGGAGCTTAGCAGGGGCACATGTCCCCAGCAACCCCATTTGCAATCCTTTTATTTATTTTTTTCCGAGACAGGGTCTCTGTTGCCTAGATTGGAGTGCAGTGGTGAGCTCTCAGCTCACTGCAACCTTCACCTTCCAGGTTCAAGCGATTCTCCCGCCTCAGCCTCCTGAATAGCTGGGACTACAGACATGCACCACCACACCTGGCTGATTTTTGTATTTTTAGTAGAGATGGGGTTTCACCATGTTGGCCAGGTTGGTCTCGATCTCCTGACCTCGTGATCTACCTGTCTCAGCCTCCCAAAGTGCTGGGATTACAGGTATGAGCCACCATGCCCAGCCTCCATGTCTAATTTTTAACACTGTCACTGTTTCACAAAACTGAAACAAAAACAAAAACAAAAACAAGTCACCCAGAGCAGGGCAGTGGCTCACCCAAAGTTTGTTTCTTCATTAATTCATTCATGGATGTTAATTTAATTTAATTTTTTAAAAGTAGAGACAGGGGTCTTGCTATGTTGCCCAGGCTGGTCTTGAACTTGTAGGCTTAAGCCATCCTCCCTGCCTCAGCTTCCCAACGTGCTGAGGTCACAGGTGTGAGCCACTGGGCCCGGCCTGCTTTTGGGTGCTTATTGAGTATTTGCCCAGCACCAGGCATGGCAGGCTCTGGGGACACCGAGGACCCTGGGCTGACCCAGCTGTGTTAACTGGAGGTTTGCGCTCATGGAGGGAGGGAGGTGGAAGTGACATCACTGATCAGTATCAAGTGGGTGCATTGCCACCATGCATGCTTGGTGGGGTCAGGAGCCAAACTCTGGGGGAGCACCCAGCCTAGAAACCTGACAAGGGGTCACATGTGCTTTGTCCAAGGAGGAGGTGACCCTGAAGGGAGAGCTGTCGGATGTGCGGGATGACGGCAGGCGAGCCTTCCAGACAGGAATGGGGTGTGGGCGGCCATTGGGGCAGGGGTGTCTGAGGCCAAAGGAAAGCTGGAAGGGCTCTCCCAGCCTTGGGCAACACTGGTAACAACTCACTGGTATTTCCTACTTCTTCATGGACAACTGTGTACACATTAGATAGTTATTAATAATTAATAAAACCATTTTATAATGCTGATTACAAAACAGCCGTGTTGTCAGGAAAGAATGGCAAAATCTTGGCAGGAGGCCACAGATCAAAACTCTTGCTCAAAATGAGGCAATTGGAAATACCCAGGAATCACCTGTCCAGATAATGGAGGTGGGATCTGCCCTTCCCAGTCCATCTCTTCGCTGGATGCGATACATATACGCATCCATGAATGGTGCAGCTGCCAAAAGAACCACAGTCTTTGGGGAGAGGCAGGTGAGGAGGGCAGCAGGTCGTGGACCCATTGGCGTGTTTTTCTTTTTCTTTTTTCTTTTCTTTCTTTTTTTTTTTTTTTTTTTTGAGATAGGGTCTTACTCTGTTTCTCAGGCTGGAAATGCAGTGGCCCAGTCCATAGATCACTGCAGCCTTTGAACTGCCTGGCACAAATCATCCGTTTTGCCTCAGCTCTCCTATAGCCTGGGACACAGGTGTGCACCATGCACCTGGCTAATTATTGTTTTTATTTTTTTTTTAAAATGGGTTCTCAACGGCCGGCGCCGGTGGCTCATGCCTATAATCCAGCACTTTGGCAGGCCGAGGTGGGCGATCAAACAAGTCAGGAGACCGAGGCCATCCTGGCTAACACAGTGAAACCCCGTCTCTACTAAAAATAGAAAAGTAGCCGGCATGGTGGCGGGCGCCCGTAGTCCCAGCTACTTGGAGGCTGAGACAGGAGAATGGCGTGAACCCGGAGGCTGGAGCTTGCAGTGAGCCTAGATCGCAGTCCGCACTCCAGCCTGCGACAGAAGTGAGACTCCATCTCAAAAAAAAAAAAAAAGAAAAGAAAAGAAATAGGGTCTCCACTATGTGCCCAGTACTGGTCTTGAACTCCCTGGCCTGAAGTGGTCCTCCCCACCTTGGCCTCCCAAAGTTTGGAATTATAGGCGTGAGCCACCACACCAGGCCCCAGTGGGGGTGTTTCAATGGCTGTTGGAAAGGCTCACCTGCCCCAGCCCACCTCAACGCCCAAGGAGCCCAAGCCAGAGAGGACACCACTGTGAGAAAGTCTAGGCAGTGCTCAGAGTAGGTCTTCACCAGAGCTTCATGGCACAGCACTCCACAGTTTGCACAGCTCCTTCACATTAAGTCCTGAAGCAGACAGAGATTATAGCCCCATTTTATAGGCCAGGAAACCGAAGCTCAGCAGGGGGCAGTGCCTTGGCCAAAGCCTCTGTGTCCAGTGGAAGACTTGGAACCAGTACCCAAGTCAGCTGCCACTGGGGTCCCCACCCTGAAGCGGGGGAGATGAGGGTTGATGGCTTTGGGCCCCTGCAGGGAAGGCCAGTGTGGGGCAGGGGGCCACACAGTGGGACAAAGTGAGGTGCTGGGTTCCTGGGGTGGAGGGAAGGCCCAGGATTGGGAGAAAGCTGCCCAGACGTTTGTGCATCTCGGTGGGAAATGTGGTGCCAGCTCCATGCCCAAATACCTACTGTGTGCCAGGCCCAAGCTGAGGCAGGAAGCACCATCCCCAGCTTACAGATGAGGAAAGTGAGACTCAGGGCAGGAAGTGACTTATCACATCACACAACATGAAGCGGGAGAGGTAAGCCGTGAACCTGTGTCCATCTACCAGACAGCACACTTGTGTGTGGGCAGGGAGGAGGCCCGGCCCAAACTGAGCGATGCTCAGGGGCCTTCTGCTTTTAACCACCAGGGGGCAGTGTTGGGCCAGCCGCACCTCTGTCCACTGGATGCGTAAACTGGGGCGGCCAGTTAGCATCGGCTCACTGGAAGGTCACTTTCCAGGCCGGTTGAAGCCAAGTTCCCCAGGTCCAGGCTGGGGCCTCCTGGAGTGATGAAAAAAGGCAGCCTGACCTCGTTTTAGATCCTGGGTCTGTCGCTTCCAGGCTCTCTTTTTTTTTTTTTTTTTTTTTTTTTGAGACTGGGTCTCACTGTGTTGCCCAGGCTAGAGTGTAGTGGTGCAATCATCACGGTAGCCTCGACCTCCCAGGCTCGGGCGATCCTTCCACCTCACCTCCTGAGTAGCAGGGACTACAGGTGTACACCACCATGCTTGGCTAATTTTTTATTTTTCGTAGAGATAGGGTTTTGCTATGAAGGCCAGGCTGGTCTTGACTCCTGGACTCAAGCAATCCTCCCACTTTGGCCTCCCAGAGTGCTGGGGTTACAGGCGTGAGCCACCGCACCCTCTCTGTGCCCATTCCTACCCACTCCTGTCCAGACTGCACAGGGCAGCCAGAATAAAATCTTTCTGAAATGCAAATCTGATCGCATCATTCTCTGCATAAGCCCTTCTCTAGCGCACCATATACCCCTGGGTAAAATCAGCGTCAGTGGTGGCTTGCAAGGCCCTCTGCAACCTGGCCACTGCACCCCAGTTCCAGACACATCCTATGACTTGAATTCACCAATTCATCAAGCTCTTTCCTGCCTCCCTGCCTTTGCTCATGCCGTGCCTTCAGCCTAGGACTTCCTCTCCAACCTTGTTAAATGCACGCTCGAGGGCACTGGAACCCTGTCTTGAAAGGCCTTCCCTAGGCTACACCGCCACCCAGGCCCTATCAGTTAGGGTCCCTTCTCCACACTCGCAGAGCAACTGGTCCAGTGCTGGTCACACGACAGAGTCATCATCTGCCTTGTGTCTGTCTCCTGCTCACCCTCAGCAGTGAGCCCCAGCTGCACTTCCCAGACGTTTTTAAAAACAAAACAAACAAACAAAAAAAAACAGATACCATTTACTAAGCACCTTCATAAGCTTGCTGCTCTGTCTATGCTACTTTGTTTAATCTTCATGGCAGCCTTATAAAATAAACATAGCTAAGCCGGGCACGGTGGCTCACGCCTGTAATCCCAGCATTTTGGGAGGCTGAGGCAGGCGGATCACGAGGTCAGGAGATCAAGACCATCCTAGCCAACATGGTGAAACCCCATCTCTACTAAAAATACAAATATTAGCTGGGTGTGGTGGCGCCTGCCTGTAGTCCCAGCTACTCGGGAGGCTGAGGCAGGAGAATCACTTGAATCCGGGAGGCAGAGGTTGCAGTGAGCCAAGATCGCGCCACTGCACTCCAGCCTGGTGACAGAGTGAGACTCTGTCTCAAAATAAAATAAAATAAAATAATAAAATAAACATAGTTATTCTTGTTTACAGGAGAGGAAAGTGAGGCTCAGAAACAGAGTCATTTGCTCAGTGGTGGTACCAGGATTGGAACTCAGGATGTCTGACTCCAGAGACTCCATGTGCTTCCCTGGACCATCCATACCCAG